ATTTCCTTTGTTCTTTGTACTCTTGTGGCATGATGGCTACCGGGAGTATCCTTTCTGCAGCCCAGGAAGTAAAAATTGCTTGGCTGAAAGATCCTTTGTCTCAGTGCTAATGTTTCTTTACAGCATCGAGCATCTATTTCCAACATGCAGTGACATTCGATGTTTGGCAGGCGTATGTCAGTGAGCTGCAACATTCATATGATTTAGAATTTCTATGAGCGACATATATAGCCATGTGGAATTTACATTAAGAGGAGCTCTGTTTCCACGGTTCATATTTTGGAGTTGTGCCTTATTTACATAAGTAATTACATTTGGGTCTTATTTGCATATCACATTGACAAAATGCTATTTCCAACAGTGGTAGTAAGGTTAGCAGCAACAGAGACAGCACAGCAAACATCTTCCAACCCAATGGAACAGGGAGCGCCGGCTTCCCAGGATCCTGGGTGAGATGCTGGCTTCATGCTGCGGCAGTCACGGTGGTCACAGGTGCAGGCACAGGGGACCCGACGTAGGTCCTTGGCGGGGATGGAGCAGGTGCATCGAGTGCAGAGAGCAGTTTACCACGGGCCATGCGTGTCTAAGTCAGTGGACAATAATCCTGCGATGATGTCCTCACAACCAGACGTTTGGATCATGAGATTCTTTTTAGGGATTTTCTGCTTGATGTTCCAAAAAGTCTTCAGGGAACTTCCTAGACGAGCAGGGCCCGGAGGAGGTGAGGCAGCCAGATCGCCCCGGCTTTGTTCCCACCCTGGCCATGACCAGTGGGCTCCTGTGGAGGGCTGGTGCCAGGTCTTCCCAGGAGCAGCTCCCAGGACACATGGGGGAAGGAGCCGTGGGCTCCTCACGGAGGCTCTGCAGCCGGCGGCCCGAGGGGAACCAGGAGGCAGCTGCTTCTCCTGCCCATGGGAGGTGGAAAAGAAAGCCCCACTTCTCTCTGCACCCCTGGATCTCCGTCCGGCAGCCCCTGAGAATGAGGCCCCCACCCGTGGAAGCCGGAGCTGGTGGTACCTTGAGCCGAACGACAGGAAGGACGGGGCGTCCTGCTCCTCCCTGATGACTTGCTCCCTGGGCTCTGTGCTGAGCTCCGTGGAGCAGGAACCAGACCCTCTGCCTGGGGGTGGGCACCGGTAGCTCCAGGGTGGGACCAGTGGCCTATTATGCCTGGGTCATCCACACCAGCCCTGGACCCTCATGGCTGTGTGGGGTGGTGGACAGGCCAGGGAGGAACCCACCCCACAGCAAACCCAGGCGCTCAGCCGAGGGGTGCAGTGGGGGCTTCCTCCTTGGGGTCCAGCCCCTGCCCTATTTATCAGCGTGGTCAGCCCCATCTGTCCCCCCAGGGGCTCTCCAGCCTTCTGCTCACCCCAGGCCCGCTTCATAGTCGAGGAGGAAGAATGAAGGCATCTCTCAGGGAAAGCTAGGGCCAGCCTGGGCCGCTTTCCTTTCTTTTTATTTTAAATTAATTCATTAATATTTTCCATGGACAAATTAAAGTTGTACGTACTTAGGGTGTACAACATGATCTTTTGAAATCTGCGTACACTGTGGCATGGCTGGATCAAGCTAATCATCCTGTGTGTGACCTCACATGCTTCTCATGTTTTGTGATGAGAACACAAAATCGACTCTCAGGATCTCGCAGAGTTTAACACATTGTCATTGTCAACTGCGGTCACCACATGCACCGCAGACCTCAGAGCTCTCTCCTCTGTCTCACGGGAGCTCTGTATCCTTTGACCACCATCTCCCCAGGCCCCGATCCCCAACCCCACTGTCCTCATCTCTTCCTGAGGCTGGCTGGCTGCGCGGACCCCCCGGGTCTGAGACATCCTGTGGTCGGCTGTTCTGTGCTCCTTGTTTCCACGCTGTCCCTCCGAGGCGCGTTGTCCCACCCTTGAGATGCAGCCAACACAGTTGGCAGAGGCATCTCCCAATGTCTTCATGAATGAAGTTACAGCTACAGGCTTCAGCCACCGCGCCTGGCAGGTTGCAGATGGTTTTTAAATTGAGGTAATATCTGATGTAGAATGTGGCATAATTTAAAACTACTTAGCAAATTTGTTTCATATGTACTGCCTTATTTCTAGATTTGTTTAAAATTGAAATATGAAAAATAATAGATAAAGCCAACATAAAATTG